GGAACAAGGGGTGAGGGCTTAACTGAGGACCAGGGCGAGACACAGAGTCCATCGGGTGGCCAGGGCAAGACACGTAGTCCATCGGGCGGCCAGGGCAGAGCAGACCTTTCGGTGGCCAGGGCGGAGAAGACCCCTCGGGTGGCCAGGGGGGAGCAGACCCCTTGGGTGGCCAGGGGGAGCAGACCCCTCGGGTGGCCAGGGCGCTGAAGACCCCTCGGGTGGCCAGGGCGCTGAAGACCCCTCGGGTGGCCAGGGCGCTGAAGACCCCTCGGGTGGACAGGGCGTTGAAGACCCCTCGGGTGGACAGGGCGGAGCAGACCTTTCGGGCAGCCAGGCGGAGCAGACCCCAACTAAGGCACAGACACCGGCTCAGGAACAGACACAGTCACAAGGACAGACACAAACACAGACATAGACACTGGGTCCGGAACCGACATGAGCTCCAGCTCTGGAACAGGCACTGGCTCTGCCTCCGGCTCAGGAACAGGCACTGGCTCTGTCTCCGGCTGAGGAACAGGCATTGATTCTGCTTCCGGCTTAGGAACCGGCACTGGCTCTGCCTCTGGCTCGGGAACAGGCGCTGGCTCTGCCTCCGGCTCGGGAACTGGCGCCGGCTCAGGAACTGACACTAAAACAGACACAGTCACAAGAACAGACACAAACACAGAAAAAAACGCTGGGTCCTGAACCAACATGAGCTCCAGCTCAGGGACAGGGACAGGCACCGGCTCAGGGACAGGTCTCTCCAACGTCTTAATCAGACGCTCCAGATAGTCCCAGCTCAGGGATACAGACGGGACCTGACCAGTCTTTCGTCGGGCAGACGGGACATGAACGGTCTCTCGCTGGGCCGACGGGACGTGAACAGTCTCTCGCTGGGCCGACGGGACGTGGACAGTCTCTCGCTGGGCCGACGGGGCGTGAACAGTCTCTCGCTGGGCAGACGGACGTGAACACTCTCTCGCTGGGCAGACGGACGTGAACACTCTCTCGCTGGGCAGACGGACGTGAGCGGTCTCTCGCTGGGCAGACGGGACGTGAACGGTCTCTCGCTGGGCAGACGGGTATTTCCTCCTCCTTCTCCGTTGTTCTTTATGGTGAGGTATAGGCTCCAGGCTGGACAGGACCAGCGGTGAAGGAAGCTCTGGGCTGAGCATCACCGGCCCATGGTCGGAGAAAGACCAAAGTGGAGAGTGATTCCGGGCTCACATTCTAGGACCTCCTCTCCTGCGGCCTCCACGAGTTCCAGAAAACTTGGCCAGACGGGTTCCCCTAAAAGATTCTCGGTCATCGGTGCCGGGTTCTCAGGGGAATTGACCACCTTGACCTCAGTCCGGCGGGCCAATAAGCAAAGCCCTGAAAAATGTTCATGCTACTGGATCCATTATTTTGACGTATTCGTTCGGTCACTGGGAACACACAGGGAAACAGGTGGATCCAAATGCAGCATATTATTTCAGGGCAATCCAACTCATAGTCATCCATACAGGGGTCAAAATCCATTTTAGCAGTCCAATAAACAAATAAAACAAGAAACAAAACAAGAACAGACAAGACAACAGACCTCGCAGTGTTAGTGACATTCAGCAACGAATCCGTACACAAACTAACACAGACAGGTAATATATACACAGAACTAACAAGACTAACACAGAACAGCTGGGAACAATGATTACAGGGAACAGCTGAGTGCAATGAACTGATGAGTGACAGTGACAGACAGAATGCTGGAAATGCAGTTCCAGAAATACATGACACCGAGGGGAAGGAGAGGACATCTAGTGGACAAACAAGGAAACACAACCAGACACTGTGACAGCTTGGACACTTCTGGGTTTGGAGCTTTCTTTTTCGTTAGTTTAGCCAGTGTTTCATTCAATTATGTTTATTTTATTCTAATAGGATTGAAAAATAAGCAGATCTAGCAGCTTTTAAGGCCTCTCTGTAAACATTCAAGCTCTCTTTCCATGAAACCCGAAATACCTCTAGTTTTGTTTTCTTCCTTTGTTACTCCATTTTTCTAACTGCTCTCTTAAGGACCTGAGTGTGCTTGTTGTACCCAGCTATTTTCTTTAATCTTCTTTAAAGGGATAGTTCACTTTGAAATTAATTTTTGGTATGTTTTAGCTTACCTCAAGGGCATCCAGATGTAGGTGTCTTTGTTACCACAGTAGTTTCATTTTGATATTTGGAATTTGTCTCCTTTTCTCACACCACGACTCCATTCCTCTTTTGCTGGCATTTGTGGGTCTGAGCAGAGGGTTATCAGGTTCCCCTCCCTTTTTGGGGGCTGGAACATAACATTAGGTCAAACCCTACTTGTCTGTCAGTCATATAATGCTGGTCTATGGTCACCACCTTAAATAGCATGCACAGAGAAGTCAAAATAACCATGATTTAATGACTCGTAAATGTAAGTACACATTTGATGGCATAAGACATGAAACAAGCAGTTTGTGTGAGAAAACGAAGTAGCGCAACAGAGCAACTGCGTCTAAAGTGCTGGAGAAGAGGGAGTTAACAGTTTCTGTTGCAATATCAAGTTCTTCTAAGCTATCCAGGATGCAGACACAGTAAAAACTGATTAGGAAGATTATTGATAAAGCAATCTTTAGTGGCAGAAGTTTTATGTCTAACATATTTATAACACAGAGTCGGCCTTGCAGCCTTGGCTAAATGAGACTAGATAATGATCTGAGATGTCATTGCTGTGCTGCAGAATTTCAACAGCATCAACATCTATTCCATGTGATAGTATTAGATCTAGAGTATGATTATGACAATGAGTAGTTCCTGACACGTGTTGTCTAACTCAAATAGAGTTTACAATGTCTTTAAATGCCAATCCCAATGCATCTTTTTCATTATCTACATGTATATTAAAATCACCAACTATTAGTATTTTATCTGCAGCCAATACTAATTCTGATATTAAGTCTGCAAATTCTTTGATAAAATCTTTATAGTGCCCTGGTGCGCCTGTATACAGTAGCCAGCAGAATTTTCCAACGCGATTTATCGTTTACACTATGTATGTTTTACATTAAGCACCAACACTTCAAAAGAAGTATATTTAAACTAGATTTCTTAGTGGGTTTTGAAAATATTACTATAAATTACAGCAACACCTCCCCCTTTGCCTTTAGACGAGGTTCATATTTATATCTGTTACAAATTACTCTGAGAAGAGGGTTGAAATCCAAACGCAGCTTTATTGTGAGGGCAATCCAGAGGCGCAATCCAGTGTACAGGCAAGGGTCATACACAGGCAGGCAGTCCAAAACAGATAAACAAAGAAACTAACAAAACAGACAGGGACCAGAGGCAAGAGAGTAATCCAGGGAACAGGGCAAGATATCCAAAACCAAAAGACAAGAAACCAGAAGAGAAGGCTAAGAATGGGCTTTATGCCCAGCTGCACTACTTCCTGAACTTCAGCCAGCTCCTTGTTTCCTGTCATGCCAATATTGGTCAAATTGATTAATTCAGTTGTGCTTGACCTCAGTAGTCATGGCAACAATAATCAGACACACCTGAATTATCAATTTGGCCAATAATGGCAGACAGGAAACTGGAGCTGGCTGAAGTTCAGAAGTAGTGCAGCTGGCATAAAGCCAATTGCCAGTGTAACACTAGTGTGATTTTAAATGATTATGGCAGTAAGCTCCACT